ACCTTGCTTACAACTTGCATTCCGCCTTTGGTAACTGGTTCCCTGGTTCAAAACCATTGCTTGCCCAAGCCATGAACAAGATTATGAAGGTACTTTTCCCCTTACAATCATCCATTATTTTCATGAACTGGTTTGCGTGTAGTATATGTTGCAGCTAAAAGTTTCTTAACATCCTTATGCTCCATTATGCAGTCAAATCCTGCACTCTATGTTCTGAGGGAACGCATAAGGAAAGGGTTGCAATTGTATTCTTCAGAGCCCACAGAACCATATTTATCATCTCAGAATTATGGAGAGATTTTCAGCAATCAAATTATATGGTTTGTTGATGACACAAACGTGTACCGAGTGACCATCCACAAGACCTTCGAGGGAAATTTGACGACAAAGCCCATTAATGGTGCAATTTTCATTTTCAATCCTAGGACAGGTCAACTGTTTTTGAAGGTAAGTGCAGTTCGACTGTAATTTTCTTGTTTACTCTTGGGCAAACTCCATTGTTCTCTAACTGATGTGTGTGCTGTGCTTTTCATTTACAGGTCATTCACACAAGTGTGTGGGCAGGGCAAAAGCGTTGGCCAAATGGAAAACAGCCAAAGAAGTGGCTGCACTTGTAAGGTCTTTGCCAGTTGAAGAACAACCGAAGCAAATTATTGTGACTCGGAAAGGGATGCTTGATCCTTTGGAGGTCCACTTGCTCGATTTTCCGAATATTGTTATCAAAGGAAGTGAGCTGCAGTTACCATTCCAGGCCTGTTTGAAGATAGAGAAATTTGGTGATCTTATACTGAAGGCTACGGAGCCACAAATGGTTCTGTTCAACATATATGATGATTGGTTGAAGAGCATCTCATCCTATACAGCATTCTCCAGGCTCATCCTCATCCTGCGTGCACTCCATGTGAACAATGAAAAGGCTAAGATGCTACTCAAGCCTGACAAGTCGGTCGTTACTGAGCCACACCACATCTGGCCTTCACTTACAGATGACCAGTGGATGAAGGTATGTTCAGGAAAATGTACCTATGCCTCCTTGAATTTGCCATGCCTTGATATTGTGAAAGAAACTTTTGTTAGGGGGACACCATTGTGTCAATTTTAATTTGATGGACTCCTTTCTGATTCTGGACTGTGCATGGTGCAGGTTGAGGTAGCGCTTAGAGATCTCATTCTCTCAGACTATGCAAAAAAGAACAATGTCAACACATCAGCATTGACGCAGTCTGAGATCCGTGATATTATACTTGGAGCTGAGATTACTCCTCCATCCCAGCAGCGCCAACAGATAGCTGAGATTGAGAAACAGGTTATAATCTTGGTCCTTCTAGTACTTATCAATGTGGGCCCCTTTGTTTTTACAGATTCAGTTGCTAATGTGCATCATCTTTTCAGGCCAAGGAAGCAAGTCAACTGACAGCGGTTACCACAAAGACCACAAATGTCCATGGTGATGAGTTGATTGTTACTACTACGAGTCCCTGCGAGCAAGCTGCCTTTGGCTCTAAAACAGATTGGCGTGTGAGAGCAATTTCTGCAACAAATCTCTATCTCCGTGTGAACCACATATATGTAAATTCAGAGGACATAAAGGTAACACTTGCTTTGCCATCTGTTGTTTAACTAGACATACTATACCTTTAGCACCTTGCTCGTAGAATCACTGTTACAATGGCAACGAATTCGGTGTTAATATTTTGGTTTTTACCTGTTTGTGCAGGAGACTGGATATACATACATCATGCCAAAGAATATTCTGAAGAAGTTCATTTGCATTGCCGATCTGCGGACACAAATTGCTGGTTACTTATATGGTGTAAGTCCACCAGATAATCCTCAGGTGAAGGAAATCCGGTGTATTGCAATGCCTCCACAGTGGGGGACACATCAGCAGGTGCATCTACCTTCCGGTCTTCCGGAGCATGATTTTCTCAATGACTTGGAGCCTTTGGGATGGATGCACGCACAACCAAATGAACTTCCTCAGTTGTCTCCACAGGTTAACTTCTATTCATCTTTGTTTTGTTGTGCAGCTTTAATGAGTTATATTTCCACGGGTTAGGTGGGATTTGTTTAGCCAATTGCTCTATGCACAGCTCTTCTAATGTGTGAATCTTTTGAATAACAGGATGTTACCTCACATGCTCGGATCCTGGAGAACAACAAACACTGGGATGGAGAGAAGTGTATTATATTGACATGCAGCTTCACACCAGGGTCTTGTTCGTTAACTGCATATAAGTTGACGCCAACTGGGTATGAATGGGGACGTGCTAATAAAGATACAGGAAACAACCCTCATGGTTACCTGCCAACTCATTATGAGAAGGTCCAGATGCTGTTGAGTGACCGATTCCTTGGCTTTTACATGGTAAGTGTGCTAGATATATGGATTATTCAGTTGGATTTTTGATTGCTGCTCCCGTCCCGTGTTTCCTGCATCTCCCTGCTTCCTTCCATGCCATCTCCGTCTAGAACTGAATCTAAATTTAACTTTGTTGTGCAGATACCTGATAATGGTCCATGGAATTACAACTTCATGGGAGTGAAGCACACTGTTAGCATGAAGTACGGGGTGAAGTTAGGTACACCTCGGGAGTACTACAATGAGGATTACCGACCTACACATTTCCTGGAATTCAGCAATATGGAGGACGGTGACACTGCTGAGGCAGATCGGGAAGATACATTTACATAATACAATGCCATTCAAATATACGTTGGTAAGATTACCCTTAAGTCTTTGGGAAGTCAAATCGAATGGTGACTTTGTTGTGGTATGACATTATCAGCTATAATCCATAGTGTAGTGTCTGATGATATTAGATGGAACCTACAAGTTGTAAATATATCAAATGAATTTGTAGCTTGATACCACTGTATGCCTTTTATCCGAGGGCGAATGTCACTGCTCGTCTTTGTGGTTTAGAATTTAGCTCGTGCATTTTAGATGCGAAAACAAACTGATGTTTGTACAGTAAGAGAAAGCAAATCGTGTTTTTGGTATTTTGATTTTTCCCTTAATCCTGTTGCCGTAGGGGCATTCTATGCCTAAGAGCAATGCAACTGAACAGTGTAAGGTTTAGAATGTTAATGAATTAAATGTTAGTAATGTCTTTCTCTATTCGTATTAAAGGTTTGAGATGTTGCATCAGTGCATTTTTTTTGGACATGTATAACTGTCCTGAACCAACGGGGTAGGTACTTCATGTACGGGATCCATATTAATTGTTTATTTTTTTTAGTCATATACACAGATTATATATTAACTATACACAATTATACACATATAATACATAAATTATGCATATATTATACCTTCACCGGTTATTTTTAGTTTAAGTTATTAAGTGTGCGGTTATTTGTGTTAATACTTCATGTACGTACTAATTAAGAGTAAATTTCACGCATGTTGATTCAACTTTGAGTTTGTAGCACAAAAATTACTTTTTTATTTTTTTGTAACATAATAGTCATTTAACTTTGAGTTTGTAACATGAAGTTAATAGTTTGTATATATTTAATAAAAATTTTAAGACAAATACATAATTTGAGCCAAAATGATTGGGTTCGGCTGAACTCGCGGCAGATAGTGTGGTTCCACCTCGGTCTCAACCCCCATTTCATATGTTACACTGATTTTTAGGAACATTTTGGCATATAAGTTCTAAAATCAATGTATTATTAATGTCACTAACAATGTCCTGTTACCCTCATCGACTATCATTTTTTTTAGTATTATCCATTGAGATCTTAACTTTCTGTTATATCTAATTAAGTTGTAAAACAATTGAATATTGGTTGAGCGTAAGCAAGCAACCTAACCCCAATATCTAATTCCATTTTTATAATTCGAAATATCCAAAACAAAGATGGACAAATATGGCAAAATAATACCTTCACTAATTTCAAAGACTTTTTCCACCAATCAAACATATATCTTTCCACGAATTAAAAGAACATAGTTCTTTTACTTCCAAATTTAGCCCTTAACTTGACTTATATTTATCGTTAATTGTTCTTAATAATACCCATACCTACCAGTTAACAACTGATAAATTCACTTGGCCTGGTAAAAGTCACAACTATTGGACATAGCTGCCTTATTTTTTAGGTTACTAATTCACTTACTATGAGCAATTATCACTAATATTTTATTTGTTCAAATTTTAATGTTATCTGATACATGTATTAATGGAAGATAATAGATATCCAGTAAAATAACCAAGATCTGCGCAAGGTAATTTGGACACCACCATATAAAGATAAAGAATAATTAGTGTAAATTTTGTGGCCATAACCTTATTTTCAATGTACTAATTCACTTTCTATGAATAATTATCACTAATATTTTATTTGTTTAAATTTTCATGTTATCTGATGCATGTGTGAATGGAAGGTAATAGATATCCGATAAAATAATTAAGGCATGCGCAAGGTGATTCGGACGTCACCATCATAAAGATGAAGACTAATTAATGTAAATTTTGTGGCCATAACCTTATTTTCTATGTACTAATTCTCTTAGTATGAACAATTATAACTAATCTTTCATCTGTATAAATTTGGTGGAGAGGATTATTCGGTACTGGGAGGTAACAAATACTCTTTAAAATAGTTAAACTATGTGCAAGCTGGTCCGGACATTACCGTAATTAATAAAACAATCCAATTAGTGTAAAGATTAACATAGTGTATAGAAGTTAATTAGAATAGAAAAATAATTTTCACTAAGTTGAAAGGCTTTTTCCATTTCTCTTCTCCACGAATCAGAGAACATAAACTTTTTTTTACTACCAATTCTACCCTTTAACTTGACTTATAGTAATTTTCATTAATTGATACTCACTCGTCCACCGGTTAACAGCTGATAGCTTCACTTGGCCGGCGAAAGCCACGTGGCAAACACCCAATTGTTCCACGTAAACATTAAAAAAAATCCAATTTTTAAATCAAGAAACTGACACTATCCAATACTTAAAAAAAAAAAAGTTATGGCCACCTCAGTCAGAATTCAGAACCCACATGCTCATTTCTCACCACCACCGTCACCACCACTTCCACCACCGTTTCCGGCCGCCATGCACGGTGGAGCTGCCGGCGAAGAATCAAACTCTGATCTTAATCAAATCTTGGTTGAAAAATTCTACTCACTGGAATCAAGTTATAGGAAACTTGTGGAACAATTCAACGTGTTATATCAAGAAAAAAATAAGAATAGTATTGTGAATATGGATTCAGATGAAAAATTAACAGATTTTTCAGCTGAAATGAGGTTATTGCCTGGAGTTTTCTTTAGTGGGAGTCCGTACAAAAACGTGTTGAATTGCATGGGTCATGCAGTTCACGTTAGTAGAGCTGATTCTGGGGAAATTATTTACTGGTAAGTAATTAACAAGTAATTTACTTTTAAATCTGATCATTTCTTTGCACTAATTCTAATTAGTGATGTTTCTTTTGAGCTGGGGATTGTTGATAGTTGAATTTATGATTGATAAAATGAAGTTGACTTAGATGTAGATTTACTTTAAAATTTGCTTCTTTTGTGTTTATATTTAGGTTAAACAGTGGCGGAGCTAGGAATTTATACTTCAAAAAAGTCTAGAATAAATTTGATAGAATTTTTCCTCATATCAAGGGGATTCAATAGAATGAAGTTGACTTTGAGATAGATTTACTTTGAAATTGGTTCTTTAACTGTTTTTAAGGCCATCTAAATTATCAAATCTTATCTATTATTGTAAAGGAACGAATTTAGGGTATTTAATTTAACTGACCCTAACTAGTTTGGGATTGAGGTGTAGATCATTGATTGAAACTGTGGCATGGTAGCAAGTAGTAAAGCAATTAGGCACCACTATTGATTATATATAGTTTACTCTTTCACATTTATCATCTACTCTCTAGCCGAGGGTCTATCGGAAACAGTCTCTCTGCCCATAGACCCCAGACCCCACTTGTGAGAACTCACTGGGTTTGTTGTTGTTGTTGTACTCTTTCACATTTACCACTTTAGCTAAAGACTAGTTCGAGTTAAGGTTAGGTTGTTGTTACACTTACATTAGGTCTAAAATGTATAAGTGTGGGATTTTGAGAATACTACTTTTCTTTTAAGAGACAAATTTAAAATGATAGTGGAACAGAATGGGCCCTGGTATCGGAATATATAGAGGATTCATTTCATCAACCAAAACTAGTTTGAGACTGAGTCATAGTTGATTGATTTATTGACTCCGGCCAAATATTACGATTAGGAACTAAATCAAACAGATCTCTGCTAATGTTTTCTGTTAGTCCTAAAGTTCAAATTCTGCACTTTGGTTTAACTCACTTTGTCACAGAGGAATTGTCCTACTTTTTAAAGGGGGATTTAAGGGGAGGAAGTATGCTGAGTGGGATGGATAGGCAGAGCGAGAAACAATTTGGTTTATGAAAATATTTTTCCATAGGCTTGATGTTAAATCCCCTTCATATCTCGGGGCTCTTGTCTGTTGTGAGGTAGTATATTATACAAAGGAAATTCTTCTCATGCAGGAATCGATTTGCTGAAAGACTTTACGGTTATAAAGATCATGAAATACTTGGACAAAGGTCCACTGAACTGCTTATCTGTGAAGAATATCATGAACTGGCTAGGATTTTCATGGAAAATTTGAGCTGTGGAGAATCATGGTCGGGTCTGTTTCCTTTTAAGAAGAGGTCCGGTCAGATTTTCATGGCAATGGTGACGAAAAGCCCATTGTACGAGGATGACGAGCTTTTTGGTGTTATCACTGTTTCGAATGACGCGGCTTCATTTATTAATGTAAACTCCAGAAATGCAAGTATCCATGAGGATAATGCTCAACCTGGCGCACGAGGAATAAATTTCAAAAGGATTCAATGGCAGCCACGGCTACAAATTGCATCGTCTGTTTCAAATCTGGTGCTTATTATCGTGTTATCGTTGCCCTTCATAAACATTTTGGTCTAACTTTTTGAATAACTATTCTTTGTTTTTTCCTGATTTTTCAGGCTTCAAAAGTTTTCTCACTGAAGCGTGGAGAGGATACGTGCAATGCATCTGCAGATGCAAGGGACAGAGATCAGGCGGATTTAGACGTCAAAGAAGGGAAACCGCTGAAGCCACCCAGAGCACCTGTAAGTGTGAATTCATAGATGGTTTGATTGCTTCTAATTAATTGAACGGGAACTTTATGAGGTAAGATTATCATTTCAGGCGACACGGCTGAGTTTCAATTTGCTCGGCGGGAAGAATAAAGCTAATGCAGAGAGCTCTCAGAAAGATGAATCTACATTCGACATTGCTCAGCCTTCCAAAATCGTAATTTCCCATTTCTTTAAATTTCTGGAGTAATGTCCATCTCTTCCTCTTGGCTTTATCTTCTAGGCTTTATTTAATTCTTTGAAAAGATTGGGTGGCAATTACCTTCAAAGTCTTGTTGCGGCTGATTTGTGCTAATAACATATCTGTTAAGGTTTACTAGAGTAGTCATGGAATGATCTAGATGAAATTCGAGAACCGGTCATTAAACTTTTGTGACAATTTGAGTAATTCCTGTGCGCTCTGCAGCGTGCTAAGATCACTGATAACTGAAATCAAAAGAACAGAATATGAGGGGGGGG